CCCTGACCAATCAAGCCTTCCCCTGACCATGAGCCTCACGTTCGGCCCAGAACATCGAATGAGTTGGTTCGTGCAATTCACCCCCCTGGATTGCATATTTATGTGACCTTCCGCAGGTTCTGATTGAGTATGCATTGCCATTTCGACTCATGCATGTTTGTACCCGAGTGCATCCCATCTTTTGGGCGTGGACCTCAGCCGAATCTCCGCCTGTACTGATCGATCGTGTGCATGTGTTTGAATCTTTGGAGCTTCAATTTCAGTTGTTTCAGACATGTCTCTTTGAACTCGAGCACGTCCTGGCCCAAGATTGGTTTCAGTGGTGTTTGCGCCAGGGTCTGACAGATGGACCGTATGAAAGAAGAGGATCAATCTTTTCAAGATCTGATGGAAGTGCGCCAGGGTCTGACAGATGGACCGTATGAAAGAAGAGGATCAATCTTTTCAAGATCTGATGGGCGACGCTCCCGCCCCGGGCAGAGGAGGTCATCGCACTCATCGGGTTCGGGCTCGGCAGACGACTCGTCTCTCCTGACTATGCTAGCAAAACTGACTTTAAGACAGGAGGATCAGTTGAATCAATTAAATTTGGATCGCACCTTCCTTCTTTTCATCCAGGCTGGCAAGAGTTCAATCCTCCCACAAATGCTTCAGCTTTCGAAGACATGGCATGGCCAGCGGGAGCAGGGCACTGTCGATCGACCCCTTCGCCAGCTGATGTTCCAGTCGATTTTCGAATAGCTTGCGAGCCGGGCGGCCCAGCTGCCCCTTGGGTCAAACGACCACGAATTGATCCTGGCCCTTCGCGCCAAGCAGATCTTGACCCCAACAAATGCCTGGAACTACCTCCAGTGGGATCACCAGGAAAAGACCTTGAAAGCTTCATCACGGGAGCCGATCTCGTCAACAGAGGCCTCCAAAATGATCGAACGTATCCACCAGATTGCCAATCAGCCGGAACTGATCCACAGATTCACGGCACTCAAACCGATGCCCTCCGATCAGCTGAATCCGAGCTCCAACGTTGTGATCCCTTGGCGACTCGACATTTCCCTTCGCAGCTCGGCCTCTTAGGAACTGTTCGACCTCCTCACGAAGCTCACGGGCAACGGACTGACACAGTTGATTGCAATCCGGCTGAGGCTTTCGACCTTGCAGAGGTCCCCGCTGGCGCAGGCGGTGGCCCGCACCCTCAAACGATGAGATCCGCTCTCCTGGAGTTGTGCCTTGGCAATGATTCCAATGATTGCTTCATGAACACAGTTCTGATAGCTGAACTTTGGGCCTGTTGTATGGACAACACCTTTTCTTGGGGATTGACCGGCACTTGGAAGCAACCCCTTCAGCAGATGCTGACCCGTGGGCCCCACACTCAGTGGCTCACGGATTCGGATTGTCTGGGATCGCTGCTTGATGGCTGGTTTGCTACACACACCAGGGGTTCTCAACATGATGCGGCTGAATTTTCTGGATGGCTACGGCTGACCCTGCACAGAGTCCACTATGATGACGTGCTGCAGGCTCCTCGATGGGAGGCCCGTTTCGACACCACCGTCGAGGATCGGGGAATGACTCGGGAATGACCTGTTCGTCGATTATCATGCGAGATGAAAAACCCGCAGGTTGCACACTTCAGGAGCTTGTACATATCTGTGGCACAACCAAGCCCCCTTTTGTTTAGGACTTGTTGGCTCCGCAACCACAGTTTGCTTGCAGATCAACCGTTTTCCAGGGCTTGGCATTCGATTTAAGACCTTGATCAGCTGGAATAGACAACAAGTCATGCTTCCATGCTTCATGCATGCCATTGGCCGTTCGGTCAATCGGATTGAGTATCAGGTAGTTGCAGCTGCATTGCACGAGGCCAAGAGCCGCATTGTGGACACTACCAATGCATCCTCCGCACCGGTGGCGGCAGATTCCTGACTGATGACGACAGAGTCCCGATAGCTGTCCCGCACCTTAAGGAGATGGATGAAGACATATATCTAATTTGGATGACACGTGCCACCGACTTGACAGTTGCTTACCGCACAATGGTCGAAAGACCCAATCCTTTTCGTGCCACTCTACTCGAGCTGATGTAGCACTTTTGCCGCCTGGGCTAGTTGTCCGCCGAGACAGCCGATCGATGCTTCGATTGCACGCCCAACACGGGCGGATTCGCTCCGTCGGTCGTGAATGAATGAATGAATATATATATGGAAATTAGACATTTTTGGAAATATATATATTATCGTATATTATCGTATCGTAAGGAATGATGTATTTTTATATTTATAATACTAAATTATTTTTTGTTTTAAAGAATTGTGATAATAATAATGCATTAAAATTGGGGAAATATATCGAATATTTTCTTGGGATGCGGTTTTATATATTTTATTATATTTAATTACATTACATTTATTATTTTAATTTTATTGAATTTTAATATTATATTTTATTTTTTTAATATATGTTGCAAAATATTTATTTGGTTGTCGGATAATTCTGTTTGATTTTTTATTTTGAAATATCGGCAAATATTTATTGAGATGGAGATATAAATTATCGCGGATTTTCGATAAGGAATATAATTTTAAGGAAAAATCGATGAAGACGCGTTTTGACGACTTGCATAATTGAAAATTGAGAGAATTAATGGTAGGTAATATAGGGCCGAGGCATTTGATATATGTATATTTCCTTAATGGTTTCTTTCTGCTTATAAGTAATTCTCAAATTATAATTATAACGAAGGTTTCGTAGTTGTAAAATTGTATATTTCATTTTAGCATAGGTGTAAAATTGTATATTTCATTTTAGCATAGGCGTTTTGTTATAGCATTATTTTGGTTAATCTCTTTAATTAATCTTAGTTTAATGATGAAGATTTCTTTAATTGATATTATTCTATTAAAATCGATTTTAATTCCGGAACCGTTTACGAAATAAATATTATGAATCCCCTGTCTTAGAGTTTTTGTTAACAATTGATTGAAAATTTCTTGGCGAAAGGACTAAATTTGGGATCCAAGTGGTTGGAAGGATCGTTAGCCGTGGACGTCGCGTTGAATCGCCTTTTGATCTTTGGAAAGTGATTGCGTCCGATCCACGGATATTCTAAAATAATTAGATTTATTTTGAAGGAATCGTCGTGATATTAATTGATTTGGGTGATTTTTACAATCAATAAATGGCCTCCGTAAAGATTTCAAAGGAATTTCTTTAAAAATAAATAAATGATTTTATTCGAAATTGAAGGATCGAATCGGTTACGACGGGGAATTATGCATTCTGATGAATTCTTCTTCCATTTCAATTTCATTATTTCGTAATAATATCGAATATTTCTCTACCAATAAAAATAATCAATATTACTAAGAATATCTTTGGAGATTTATAGGAAAATACTTTGGGATCAAGAAATAAAACTAACTTTAATGCCGATTATTCGGACGATTATACATTCATATATGTTCCAGAGGACGGAAGATAGATATTTTAAAAAATTGGATCGAGGTGGAGGATTTCTTTCCCTCGTATATATTCACCACCAATATTAGATATCCGATCGAATTGATATACGAAGGAATATTATTCAAAGAAAATATATTTAGTTTAATTTGTTATTTAGCCACATCATAATGCATGCCCAGAATGGCTAAAATCGGACGATTCAATAAAAGGGATTTTCCAGATGATATAATCGCCACCTTCATCCCAAATTCTAATCCTCGGATTAAAGATCAGGCGTCCGTACCAAATCGAGATATATAGATGCGGGATGCACTAAATTTTAAAATAAAATTTATTCTTATGATTATAGGGTTTGACCTCAAATCCCAAAATATCATTTATATTCTAAAATTATTTGAAATTCGATTTATTGATAAATAACCATTATCTACGTGCAATCTACATCCACGATTCGGCGCCCACGATCGCCGAGAGGCCACCCTTGATAAAATCGTAGTCCATAGTCTCCTCATCGGCAATGACCAAAAAAAATATAGATTTCAATGCGTATCTAAATTAAATGTATTATAATCTATTCATTCTGGATATTTCCAACCGCTGCGCGCCGACCGCACACATGACCGCTAGCCCTTTCATCTTTAAATAGCTCCCTATATATTCAATTTTTTCATTACTATAATTTAAAAAAAAATAATTGCATCAAAGTTCAATTTTCGTCATCAGTAAATTTTATAATCATCTCGATCATATAAATGGAATATCGTATATTCATCATTTATCTTCTCGTTATATCTATTTATCGATTCCCCCTATAAAATCATTTTATTAAATATTTTTATAACAAATCGCCTATTATTTGTTCATATCAAACACAAAAAAAATATTCCTAATATTTTTTTCCAATAAATAAAAAGAATGCGTATTGCATTTCTTTCCAATTAAAATATTCGAATTCCATATAAATAAATCGAATTACTTATTGCCATTCATATCATTCGTTATATATATATATTATAATGCGTTCAAATTAATATTTAATACATTTCAAAAGCATACGATAGACAAAAATTATTCATATCTTTGCATTTACAAAAATTTTATTCATTATAATATATTCAAATTTATTAAATAATATTATAATAATAATTCATATAATTAATACGAAATTATTTTTATATATAATATATATTAATATATGTTCCATATATATATAATAATATATTTAAATTTATATAAATATATTATTTAATTATAATATATTTTAAAATAATAGTTAAATTCATTTATAATATTTTATATATAAGAAATTCTCATATATAAATATAATCAATATAATTAAAATATTTATTTTTTTTTTATTTAAGATATTATTTATATATATTATATAATTATATATATTTAATATATATTATCAATATTCATATATATATATAGATTAATATATATTATCAATATTCATATATATATATATAGATTAATACATATTATGGATATTATTAAATATTCTTAATATTATGATATATTTATTTTTTAATAAATCAATAATAGATTGTTTGATCCTGTGCACGATCAAAATTAGATATTCCAATAGATTATTCATTTATGTAGTATGTGGATTTGAAGATATTGATCCAAATTGAATTCATTTATTTATATCTATTTATATCCACGTCTGTTTTCAAGCCAAACAAAGATATGAAAAGGATTGAACAGAATAGAAAAGGTCTCCAATGATACAATATCAACCAATTGTTGGTCCTCCAATCAAATTGTTTCTTTTCATCAGCAGTCGGCCAACCAGTACACCCGCTGATTGGTCTCAAGGTTCGGACATGCGTCACCTGGTCAAACTGCGAGGAGAACCTCACAAAAATCATTTGACTGATCTCCATTGATCCGCATCGTGGGGAAATGAGTCGTTCCGCTCACCCTATCCATCTATCTATTTACTATGTATCCAGCCATCCAGCCATCCACCCAGCCTTCCTTCCTTCCGTCCTTCCTTCCCTCCATGTACAATGTACACAGGATCTTGTGAGGCTTATAGAAGTGTTGGAGCTGAGCTGAGGCGGGAAATTGTGGGAACATAAATAGTACATGAATGTTACAAGAAGTCGCCGCTTCGTTGGGAAAAGATGCCGGTTTCTCACATGCTATCGTGCAGCATAGTACGGCAAAAAGCCACGCTAAACTGCCAAGTTGGGTCACTGTGAACATCCAACTCACCACCGAAAAAGGTCTTCGCCTACTTCACCTTCTACACATGCCCGTCCACCTGTCCCATGCCCGTCCTCCACGGCCGTGGGCTTAAAGGCTTCGTAGTCCATGGAGGCTTTGGACAAGTAGCTGGCACGCTGCGCCTGCGGACGTGCCAACCACATCGAAACCGACCAGCAGAGGACCATGGCGTTCCGGAACGCCCAATCTGCGGTCCAAAGAATTCTGGCCCAGGACCATGCCTTCATCCATCTGCGTTTTTTCTTCTTCGAAGGCACGGCATCCACCTAGCTCCTACCAGTAGCTGGGGGTTCATGTGTGTCAGGATTCTAGTCGATCCCCCACAAAAGAAGCAGTTCTTTTCGGAAGATGTACATCCAAATCGCCCGGTCTCGAAGCCGACGCCGGTCCTGTCACGCGGACCCCTGTCCAATGGTGGGTGAAGGTGCCCCTGTCCAATGAACATGAGTTACATGGAAGTGGATGGCACCATGTGAAGAAGTTTGGCCTTCGAACATCCAAACGAAAAGGACCATGCCATCCCATCCACGGGCCCCATGATTGTGTCTCTGCGTGGGTCTGTGGGTCGTTCTAAACCTTGAGAAAAGGAGGTCACACTTCGAAGTGCGCCACACCATCCAAACAGAGGTCACGGCTGGGAGAATGGCGAAGGAACTCACCAATCCACGCCTCAGTCTCCATCTTCTTCCAGTCTGACCTTAGCGACAAGGGATTTGCATCCGTGGTCCGAAGCCAAAGACAAATGATTTGGGTATCAATACATGATTGTGTATGGTTATAACTGCTTGGTGGAATCTGTTGTGGATTCACCTGCGTGTGTCGGTCCGAAGCCATATTTTCCCAACCTGCAAGGTTCCAAGGTTTTGACCCGTTTCCAGGCTTAAGGTTTTTGTCCTGGGCACCCTTTGTTGCAAGAGTATTTATTGAGCGAAGACCCAGTAAAAACTCTGGAAGTTGCTCCCTCATACCGCTCGGGATGCGAGTTGATCATGTTTTATCCGTTCCTTGCCATACGTTTCCTTCGAAGTCGAGCTGCAGTTCGATTCTGTATGTAATAGGTTGCAGCTACAGGAAAAAGACGCAGCTACAGGGCGTTCCGATAAAAACTTCCTCACTTTCCTCTAGATCTTCTCTGAGCAAATCACCGACAATAGATTATTGGGCTATACTCGATGTCACCTGATCAGCCATCTGCGTCAATGCCATCGCTGGGTGCCCGGGCATCCAAATGATGCACGGTCGATAGCCCATGGTTTGTGCATGTCGGACCTTCTGCACCTAGGAGTGAGGTAGGTGTTCCACACAAACGGTAAATGCAAACCAATGCAAACAGTCATGAAACTATCAAACCAGGAGAAAGATGGAGAACATCTATCTTGATTGGCGAACACCTCGGCCATGTTCTTCTTTCGTGGAGACACTCTATCTTGATTGATGACAATCTCTGCCATGTTCTTCTGTCCTCCCTGGCTGTCCTCTCCAAAGGCCTCCCAAAAGCCGACGCACCCAAAACAACAATAACTGCAAGTTCCAACAGTAACGCTCCTGAGGCCGCCTGCAGCTCCACGGAACATGTAGTGAAACCTCGGGCGATGGTGAGTCAACTCCAGAGTCTCAGACGAGTCAAGGAAGCCAACCAATCCCAAAAGCTTCCAACTGTGCGAAAGGAACGAATCCATTCGTTCAGGATTCCCGCGAAATTGGTTGAACTGGACATGTTGGTTGATGACATTTAGGTTGATGCCCTTGGACCCATTTGGGCCCATCGAACTGGCAAACTCAGGGTAGCACTGATGGCAACGGTTTTGCTGCTTCAAGTCCTTGCGGAAGGATGCTCAAGTTAGGTTGGCCTGGCGTTTAGGGTTTGACCATCTACGCGAAGTCACCTCCAACAAGCATGGTTTCGAGATGTTTCAGAAACTCGTGGAACTTGTCCTGCTGGCGTTCATCTTTCGCTTTGCCCGCTTCGCACGCGACTCTCGCGTGTCGAAACGTCGTTTCACAGATCGGACCAGTTGGTGATCCAGCGCTTAGCTTCGTTTCAACTGCTCCGTTTCAACATATTTCATATGTCAACCAGTTGGTTTCAACATATTTCAACTGCTGGTCTTTTGTTTCAGAACGCTGAGCGAACGTCAGCTCATACTCGCGCTCGCGAACTCCTCGCTCGGCTCAGCGGTGATCGGCACATACCATCGAAGTTGCTCCTGGTTGGATGGAGCAAGTACGATCCATGCCAGGCACTGGAGACCAAACCGGGTCGGAAGAGGCGGTTCCGAAGAAGCAAACACAGTCATAGAGTCATAGAGTCATATGATATGCATGGATATATAAGGGACAAACCAAAGCGCTGGTCGATGCACGTCTTGGTTTGCTGAAGTCAGCATTTGGAGGAAGGATTGAAGTGACACACCCTCTTTTCTGGTATCCCCTCACCTACCTCCACCTTACACATATTTGTGTTTTGGCTGGGTGCCGCTCATACTCATTGGCGAGACATCCAAATTCATGAATCTTGAGAGCTGATTCCACATGATTCCACATAAATAAATGCTGACACCAACTTTGCTATGAGTGTGAAAGCTGTACAAACCAACTAGAACTACTTCCAACCTAACCTCCGTCGCGGTGTCTCTAGTTGGTTGAAGGAGATCTGGATCCACATGGTCACCGTTTTCCATGTTTCGTTGATCACAGCGACCCGGGACACAGTCGTGTCGTGTGAATATCGAGGAAACCTTGCACCGTTTAGACGCCCACACCCAACTGCTTCTTTCTTTCTGTTTTTTCCCTATCGAATCTCCATTCTTCCAATTCGCGTCCACCTGAGGCGTCTCATTTCTTCGAGTTCGGCGGTTAATAGCGTCCTCTTGTTAACTAGTAGTAAGAATGCTCCGTTCGTAGCGATGCCAGTTTCGCCCCGTTCGAGTCGCGTTCGAACGCTCCCTAGTAGTAAGGCCAGGAGATCCAGTTTCGCCCCGAACTCGTCGTTTCTTGTTACTATAGTATTAGTATCATTTAGTATATATTGGTAAGAATGCTCCACGCCTTCGAGGTGATGCAAATCACCGCCAGCGGTGGCTGATCCGACAGCTTGGCCAAGCGCTCCTGGCGGTTGGCTCTCGCACGGAGCAGGGACCGTGGACCGCGCCGCCCGTGGAGGTGGGTGGCGTGCGAATGGATTGGCCTCAACTGTGTGAGTCGGTGAAAACTCGAGTCCTTCATGTACCCAAAAATTGACAATGAGCATCAATGAGCAGAATATTTACTTTGGTCGCGACCCGGCCATGATGTTCATCTGCTATGTATTGCCATGTTTTCTTGGAGACAACAAAGCCCTGCAGGTTTTTTATGCACATATTGGCCGGCTAGCAAGCAACTGCTGGGGCACTCTTGCTGGAGTCGTTTCCATAACCTGATTTTCTAAACTTCCAGTTGAGGTTTCTCACTACACCTCATCAATCCTCACACTTCCAGTTTTCGGTCGCAGGTTTGGAACATCCTTCACGGCGTCCAGGCCTTGGCATCTTGTGACACCAGCTCCAAATGGTAGACCTTGCAGGACAACGATCAGCCACAATCAGCGAAGAAGTCGTCAAAGCCTATCATCACCATGTTCCCAGGTTGACACATATATTACTAGGGCCTTGTAAAATCTTGTAAAGACATCCTTGACATCCTTCCCTCAACTGGCATACAGTAAGTGAGGGGTACAGGTCAGTTCCAAGGTCTGCTGAGTCTGAACAGGCACACTCTGACGAACACATCACATGGTGGTTTTGTGGATGTGGATGTACGTCGGCCCCAAAGGCGCCGAAGGGACGACGCCTTTCCTCGAAACAGGTGCCATCCGAGATAGTCTGAGTGTATAGACGATGAAGTCGACGACTGGCCTTTTCACCGTCCACAACACTGGCACCGTGAGGCGCCTCGCCAAAGTCGCTGGTGCGAAGGTCGAGACCATTCTGCTCTGCGGCCTTCCTGGCGATGAAGTCTCTGAGGAGTCTTTTTGGAGTTTCAATTATCTTTTCCCAACCCCTCAACAGTATCATACACACTATAGTCAGTATCATACAGCAATTATCAGGCAGGTGCCTTGGAAAAAGGGCTACATGACCCATCGTTCCTACCGAGCCCCGATTCAGGCGAACAGGGCGAACGCTCTCAGCCCTTCCCAAAAGACCGTCCTCAAGGTGCCGTAAGCGGCACTCTGACGGAACCTGAGGTTCTGCCGATCGATCTGACAGCATCAGGAGGCCATCTGTCACTGTGTCAGGCTGGGGTCGGCTGGGGGTCAGGCTGGGGTCCACTAAGACATCATGGAGATGACTTGGGCGGCATCATCGCCCGGAAAGCAACAGAAGTGGGCCAAAAACGACACCGGAAACGAGTGTTCAGTTTGCTTCACCTTTTCCACCCCAAAAAGGAGGACGATCCTTTTTCTCGTCCGTTTTTGGGAGGTCTTCGGATCGGGGGTCTCCCAGCGGATAGACCGAGACCGCAAAGGGAACTGCTTCGACTTCGACTGAAAGGCCTCAGGGAGTAGTGATAGCATTCTCAATTCTCTTTTGGCCAAGCTTTCTTCATATTGCAAACTTCCAAACACCTCATGAGCAACCTCCTAATGATTCAAATGTGGCATGATTTCACCTTGAAACACTAAATGCTTGACTCCCATGAAGTCAAGAAGGTGAACCTCCACGGAATCTGCTCTTTCTGCGTCAAACGCTAAACGCCTCAACGCATGCCGCTCGAAACACTCGCCTCGCCCGCTGTGCCCAAGTCACATGGATCGATAGTAGTCCTGTCTCTGGTACCACTTCTGGGAGGTATGAACCTCGAGGCAAACGAGGAGATGTGAATGCACCCCACAAACGAGGTAGCAGCTCGCACAGGACATTGCAGGACGAGACCCACCAGTGTTCGAAGAAGTTTTGCCAACGAGTGTGTAAAACAAAGGTTATCCATCACACGAGAGACAAACCATGAAAAAACTATTCGCAAACGCAGAATGGGTTCAAAATGAAGACTTCGTCAGCGGTCCTGTGAATTGTCTTTAGTTGCTCGTTGCCGTTTGCCACGTCCCCAGGATGCGCATCCGCATCCGCACGCGTCCGCACGTCGTTCTGTGGCCACGACTTGAAAGAACAGCTTCATGCCTGCGCTGGTTGGTCGCTGGTGAGCTGGTCGGGCGGTGCTGCAAGGCGCGCAGCGACCCGTGGAATCATCGCCGAAACACCGCTACCCGTGTGCCGACGTGGGGGCAGAACGACGTTCTGGTTTTGCTACCCACGTCCATCATGTATTTATGTTTATTTGGCATGTTCATTAACTATTAATATCTATTATATAATGGGGTTTGTAATGCTTTCATATGGGCTGTCAAACACTTAAAACCCATCTTGGCTGTCTTTCCTTTCCTCGCACGTGAGCTGAAGTCTTTGCCAAACCCTATGGAGACCTCAGTCTGCACTCCAGGTCGGTCATTCTGCTTGGACCGTGGCCCGTGGCCGCAATCGACCTATCCGTCCGCCACCTCTGCTGGGTCCCCCGAACTCGCATCTTCTGTCAACCAGTGTTTGAGAGCGGCTGGTCCATCGAACACGCCACACAAGTGGATGTTGAACCTCAGGATCTGCTCCGACACATGAGGCATGAGCTTCCGTCGACGCCAAGCCGTGACCGGGAAGTTCGATGGGAAGGTACATCCCCTCAACACACAGTTTGGGGCGCCCGCTTAGATATGTGAAAGAAACAATTCAAGCGCTTGGTATCCTTTTTTGACATTTTTGTTGATCTTTTTTGACGCTGACAAAAGATGACATGAGATGACAAGAGGTGTCGACATGTAAATAACATTAAATAGATCGATATGCGGCCGCCCTGGGGTCTTTGTTCATCCTATGGAACCCTTGCAGCACAAAAGAAAGACCTTTCAAACGCGGTGGCTAGGAAGGGACTCCCCCCAAAGATATGTCATCGCATTGTCTAGTCTAGATTTAAAGTGAGCAACGTGTTTACATGTCAACGTTCAAGGCCAGCTTGTTTGGTCCGTTCTGCCGACCAGAAGGGTGACGCTGGTCCCCTCTTGCTGAACCTGACGATCCAACTTCGGTTCCTCTTGCTGAACCCACGGGTCCCACAGGTCCTCACTGAAATGCCCGGGTCGAACACGCAAGCGAAATGCCCCACGTGTTGATGCGGCGCAAGAGACGAGTTCGGGCGAAAGAGAAAGAGCATGCGGCATGGATCCCAGAAGTCGGTGAACCACGATGGTCCTAAAATAGGCGATCTCGAGAAGCGACCAAACAAGCTCAGTGGAACTCGAGCTGCCGCGGGTCGGTGGTGAAAAGAACACGAGCACTCACGTGTGGCAGATTGAGCCAGAGTTCACAGAGGAACGGGGGGAAGGACCTCCGACCCAAAGAGAGTCTCGATCGACTCGATGAGGGACCACTCGTTGCGAAGCTCGGTGCTGAGGTCCTGGCGCATTGATCAACTCCTCGTTGCTCAGAGACATGAGATCTACATCAGTGGTCCTTGTGAGCAGGAGGGCTTTCAGGCTCTCAAGGGATTTGGAGGACAAACAAGCGATTTGGAGGTGGTCCAACAACAGCTCGACATTGTTCAGGGCAATCTTGGTTCAAGGGGTGTTGGTCAAATGATCAGGCAACAACACACCCCTTGTGAGCCTTATCAACTTATCCTGACTCAGGAACTCGACATGAAGTAAGGAAAACCCAAACAACCAAATAAAAGTGGAATGTTCCACTATGCGAGTATTTAGCAGGTCTGTGCATTGCGCAACAAAACACGTTGGGACAGGGATTCCCAACCACATTGAACGGGGGTTTGATATGCAGTCAGTGTTCAATGCAACACATTGCCTGAAACTCTGCAGTTCTTTCCTATGTCGCGTTCATCTCAGCTCGACGCTTAGAACAAATGCGGTCGCAAGTCGCCTGGAATCGCAAAGTCACCAGCAAAGTGTTATGAGCTATATAAATGCACTTTGCCTTTCCTTTCCTCAAGCCTTTTGCATGTGTTTTCATTTCACATATCTTTTCCTTGCAAACATTGATAACTATTGGACTATGTTCCACTTCCTGTTCCTTCTCGTCTTGTTATGTTCCTCGGTTGTTTCATTTTAATACTTTAAGAACTTTGGACACTTTAAGGAGGCCGCTTCGATGTCTTCGCACGCGACATGCTTCACAAACACCCAAGAGTACAAGGATAAACCCACAACTCAGGGATCGAATCAAATCACTCCTAATGATGCGTGCACAAACAGCAGTGTTCTGCACTGACGCTTCTTTGGGATAGACACCGGTCAATACGGGGGGTTCAAGTTTGACTTTGATGCATGCAAGGGTCCGTCAGCCTCCAAAAAAAAGCGGGCCTACTTGTCAAAGAAACATGTTTGTCCCGGCCCCTGGGTCCACCTGGTTCTCTCCCCTTGCCTTGAACTCAGGAGGAAAGTGTGAGAAGCGCGCCAGCGCGGAGAGCAGTTTGAGCGTCTGCCTCGTTGGGTCTTTCAGGAACATGAACAGTCATGCCGATGAAACGTGATCGGATCAATCTACTTCACAGAAAACAACAAACTCCGGAGCCTAAAGATGATATCATGATATCAACAACTCTGAGCACAAAGCATGCATTTCTTCCTAAAACCTTTCTGCCGCAACCATCAATAGATCCACTGACCACTGACCACCAAACGCAGGCAAGTCGTCTTCGCCTGGGTGAGGCATTGGAGTTGGAGAGGTTCTCTGCCAGAACACCTCCGGAGACCCGGTGGAAGCGTTAGGGCTAAGCCTAAGCCACCGATGGTTGAAGGATGTTCGGGATAACACAATGATAAGTTATCGATAAGCACCCACAGAATCAACCAAGAACAGAATCAACCAAGAACAGGTTCTGGACGCTTGCTTCATGGCGGCTTTTGGATGTTTGGGATTGTTTTGGATGCACGGCTGCACTTCACGGACCGGACGCACCTTGCAGCTCGAGCGATTGAAAGCAGAGCTCGTGAACCTCCTCAGCCTCAGCTGATGCACAACCAGCTCAAGCACTGCTCAAGCTCTCAACAATTCAAACCCACCCAATGATCAAAACCTGTGCCTTTCCAACGCATTGAAACCGCTATCAAGCAATCCTGAAAGGGGGAATGCACTGCGCCGTGCCGGGAACAGACATGTTTCTCCCAGGCCATGGGGTTGCCATCGGTTGAAACCTTTCGTGGCTTGAAATCAACTGCGATATTGCACGGCGATGTTGAGCGTTTCAAGCCACGTCGGACACCGTCTGGGCAGTTCATGGCCCGACCCTGCCGAGGGCGGCATAATTGAGCGTCCCAGCATACGCCTTCGTCTTCAGTTTCGTCAACGTAACTATCGTCAACTCAACCGTAGCCAGGGGGAGCATGGGGGAGCATGCGGGTCTTTGACTGTGCACTGAAGGACTGAGCACTGTTGCGAAGTCAATCAGTTTCACCTGTTGCGATGGAAGTGACAGTGACATAACGAAAGTTGGAGCATGGATCCAGTCAGCAAATCATGGCAGCATGCCTGAGCACAGGGGCCACAAGGATTCCGTACAATACAGATGTGACTTGGTTTGATGTCGTGCGACGTGCGTCTGAGAGAGTCTGTCCTCCTTGGCCCTACGGTACGGCCAACCAAAATCGGGGGCCAGTTCATGGTTAAGCCCACGACCACAAAAATATCATCAAATATCTGTATGCGTATACATAGTAAGTAATATGTAATATATACATAAATATATATATATAGGTAATCACAGTCGTAGAAAGCCGAAACAAGCGCAAGACGCTATGAAGTATTCGGTCGTCAAAGATGCATGAGCTGCAGTTTCCAGTTTATGGTTTCTTCTATGCACCGTTCTTGGCTTTGCTCCTCCTTGTGCGACCCCACCTGAAAGAAACAAGCTGTCCCATTCATCACTCACCACCCACAAGATGCCACGAAGGGAGGCCTTCTGAAGAGGTTTCGTTCCTCAGATCGATGGCACCTGGCTCTGAAGCTGGACCTCCATTTCAGGCCAACCTGGGACCATAGCAATGGCTCCTGTTGCTTTGGCTTCTCCCGAGTCAGCTGAACGCGTTTTGGCTCGCGCGTGCTCGGGCTCGCTCCGCGGGACTTCGTGGTATCGCCGGGGTCCGTTTGGCAAAGGACAATGGATCGTCTATGACGATGATTGTGGCCCCAAGGCTTAAAACAAGCCCCTGGATGGGATTCACTCCAGGTTGTCTCTTTGGCATTTTAAGTGGCAGCAGCATTGGCATTCGAGAAGGCCGTGCACGATGACAACAAGTCCAGAAAACGGATAAAAAAACATGAAAAAAACAAATGAAGTTCACGGCCGCCTCGCAACTTGTTGGATAATGTTGGATATATAACTTGGACCCCCTGATGTCGGTTGCACATGGTTGCACTAAACATCACGGGAGTGACACATCGAGTGCTTGCCATAAACTTGGTGCCAAGCAAGCATGATCGACAGGACATAACACCGCAGTGGATGAACAGTGCTAGACCGCAGTGGATGAATGGTACTATTGCAGGGGTGTAAAAAAAAAACGTTTCCTTGTGCTGACGATGTCGATTGGCAGCTTAGCAGCACTTAGCAGCTTAGCAGAGTGACGACAGGCCGCGGGGTCCGAACCAAAAAACGCCTGCCGACGAAACTGCTGATCCACCAACATAACGTGAGGCTATCATGGCATCTAATGTCCCCAGTGATTCAGGGGTCTAGAGTCTAGAATGACAAAACACTCTGAACATCTATGCCAGTCATATAAATTGAGGTCCCGGTCACTCTTCTGACCAGATCACCTCCGGCTGTTGACAACAACCCTTCTTCTTGCCTCACACCCTGGACTCATAGTTCAATTCAGACCTGCACGTCTACGACCTGAGTCTAGCCGCCAGTTCCAATAGCTCCTCCAGCTTCTCGGATTGCAACGGCTTGTTCCTTGCAAGTCAGTCAAGGCGTCAAAAACATCAGCAACACGGAGCTGTGCTCGCCCAGGACCATGCGCTCTGTGTGGGAGCTGTGAGCTTTCTGAGCTCTGTGAGCTATCTGAGCTCCCAGCCAAAGATAGGCATAACACCAGCAATACCAATTCACCACCTGCGGAGGTCTGCGAACGTCTCGGTGCGAGTGAGGTGTCTGAAAAAGAAGGCGACAGTGAGGCACGAGTTTGTCAGTTTGTCTCAAAAGACCAAAGCGACCCTTTTGGGCGAAGTGGTGGAGCAGCTTGTGCTTTGCGCGCATGAAAAACATATATGAAAAATCAACATTGAATGACGGATAGATTGATGGACATCGAACAAAACCCCATGAAGTCATGTCCCACGTCTGCGGTATTCAACTCGAAAGGTCAAGTATTGAGCCCAGGCCCAGATCCCAGCACCAATTCTGTTTCCACTTGGCGAGTGAGTCAGCGAATTCGGCCATTTCAGGTCGCCTCAGCTGGAGAAAAGCACACCGCATGTGGCACATGATTCATTCAGTCAGGGAGAAAAGAATCCGGACCTGTGACCTGTGACACCATGCTTACCGAAGCTTCGACCATCCCCCACACTGAACATGTTCTCGAACCGTTCGGGCTGAAGCGAACACCGTTTTCGGTGGAGAAGCGTTCGCGCCACCGCCCCAGCCGGCTGCGCAAGACGGCCGACCACCCAGCAGAGTGGTGAAAAGACATGTGTTTAGCGGTCTCCAAACAGGGACCACATGGCAAGACTGCAGAAGACCACTGCCGAGACAGTGGTCTTGGGAACCCAGGCCAAGCAGCCCAAGAACAGGGACCCTGCGACCAACCCTGCGACGAGCTAAACGTAAACCACCCTTTCAAAGGAAAAAGGACTCAACAAAACATGTTCAAGGAACATGTGAAGCATTGCGAAACCATCCCTGACTGAACCTGGTTTTGTTTTTGGTGTGAAAGCCGCATTCCATCCAACCACCGGGTGCAGCCATTTAAACCGCCGCCCACTTGGTGTCCTTGTGGTCAAGAGCAACAATTCACTTGAAAGAGCCGGCCCGCGTGTTTGCCATCAAACAGCGGGTTCTAAGCCTAAGGAGTTGGGGACTTTATATCATTTAATATCACTCTTCAACATGTTCCGTCCATGGGACCTAGCTTGGCTTGCGGCTTGCAATTCATCCGTGGCGGCCGTGGTTCTTGACCCCCGAAATGGGGCTCGAATCTTAACTTTGACTCAGCTTATAGCAACACCAGAAAAGAAGCGGCCCCCCATTGATACACGTATCTATATATACATGTTAATGTAATATCCCTATGGCTATCTATGGCTTATAGGATCTCCCATCGGCTCCTATGGACCCTCCGTCCGACTCCCGACTCTTCGCGACCGAAGGCACAAGGTCTCGATCCTTTGAGCCTCAGTGCGCACCGACATCCACACCCCGGCCTCCTCCGGTTCGGAATGGCTGAATGTCAATGAAAGACGCTGGCGTCGTGGCATGAAAGCGTTGAGCGCTGGTTCTCTGAAAGTCTTGCCGTGTTGGTCCCGGTATGTTTTCAAGTATTGTGCTGTGCTAGTGCCATTGTCTGTTGTCTATTGTCCTGTCTGTCCTGGAGTGCAGTCAGGAATTATGTGTGGTGTGATTTTTCTTGGTGTTGTCCTTATGTTTCTCCATTGTTCGTTGTCCGTTGTCGTGTTTGCCAACGTGTAGTCAAAGGTTATGTTTGGTGAACTGTTCGCTGTTATCATATATATATATATATGTGTGTGTCATTGTTTGCTGTCTGTTGTCGAAGTTGTCATTGTGGGTTGTCACATGTTCTGTTGACGGTTGCCGCCATGTGTGTTGTCAATGGGATTCGTCAGGCACTGGCGACCCCCCCATGCCCACACAGGGCATGGGGGGGGTCACAAGAGGGTGGGGTTGTCTACTCTAGTAGAAGCTAGCTCCCCAAAATCCTGTCGGGAGAGGAAAAGGCGGCAATACAATCCTGCCAAAGTCTTAAGACTGCTCCAAGTACCCTCCAGACATATAGAACAAGAAACGAAACACCCATGTCATCCAATGTCCATGTTCCTCTTGCTCTATTCTAGCTAGAATCTAGAAGGATTTCAATTGATTTGTTCATTGATATTGTGATGTTCCATTGCCGCTATTGTCATTCGTATTCTATCCATTCATATTCCATTGTCACTCCCACCGTTCATATTGATGACCATTTTATACTTTGCCACACGGGGTCAATGGCCGCTGGCTGTCCAGCAGCTGACTGGTGATGTCGTCGCAGGGCCTCACGCAGCTGCTCCTCCAGCTGCTGCGTTTGAGCTTCGGCCTCCTAGGAGTCAGTTTTGAGGGATGGCCAATCGGCCAATCTTAGGCTCTGACATTTCAACTATCCGGCACCCTCAGAGATCGTGGGCATGCAGCCATGCATGGGGCATGCAAAACACATTGAATCAAAGCACGTATTTTTACCGTCTTATAGTGGATGCTTGAGCAATGCATGATCTTCAGCAACAAAATGGCTTTGTATCAATTCCATTTGTGCATTCCCTTTCTGTATGATATAAGTCTATATAAGTGGACAGAAAATAGTTGTAGCACCGCATGTGAGACACTGCATATACTGAATTGGGTGCGTAGCCAATTTAACTTATTCTAGACACTTCGATGGTTTCTACTGGCTCCTGGGAAAAGAAGACTGAATTCGTTGTTTCTCTTGGTGCCAAACCTTTGCCCAAGACCTGCAAGTTGCTTCCTTTATCCCGCGTGGAGCAAAGGGTGTGTGGCTCAAATAGGGAGACCATCCCACTGAAAAAATAAACTTTATATAGAAAGGACATAGTCCAGTCTGAGTCTACCCATTGGCTTGGAGTCTCCATCATATTAAACAACACACCGTTTAACAAACAAATACATCCTCCCAGCAAACACTTCGGTCAAACACGCGACTCCAACGCCGAGTCTCCTCTCCCTCCCGCGGGTCCAGCCGGGGCTCCTTGAGCTGCGTCTCCAAGTTGTTCGGTTTTCTGACGACATCGGACGATGAAAATGCCAGTGACGAGGACGAGGACGAGGAGGACGACGAACGAAGCGTCATGTCGTCGGACGGGGTGTTTTCAGCCCCAAAAAGACGGGTTTTCCAGTGAGTTCTAGTGGCATACACCGTTTCCGGGTGTTTTTGAGATTTGAGTGTATGAGGCACCATACTGAGGAATCCTGCTTGGACGGGGACATGCAGCCAAGGTCAAAAACGGAGCACACGTTTCAAGTACAACTTTTGAGTAGCTCAGGCATAGTTGAAGGGGACATTTCAACTTTGCAGCATGAGCCAATGGTGGATCTCACCACTCAACAGGTCTTCAACAATCAGTTGGGATCGGCTGTAAAATCTGTATACTTCTGTGTGGGAAGCTTCTCCAAGCCTACAGCGCGCCCAAATCGACAGACTTGAATCCATCCTCCAACACTCGATTCTGTGGACAGACCGCGGCCGGTTGGACGCGACGTCCGCCCTCCGGCGGGACTTTCCCACGGTATCGCCCGGTGCGCCTGCAATCCCAGCTGTATGTCCGGGGCAGCCGCTGGCGGCGCTCTGATCGAGTCTCCTGGGGCACACGGAGACTCTGAGGGTGTGGGCATCGCGAGGCAGGAGGGCGGCCTCGTGGAGGGTGGCACAAACGGGCAAAGGGATTCGGTGTTTTTCGGGGCTGCTGAGTAAGAGGATCCTCGAAAAACACAACGTCACAATCGAATCTGCCGATGCCGAACTTGGCTCTCGACATCTGGAGCGTCGTCATGCAGATCCGACGACAGTTGTGCGACCTTTTCTTCACCAATCTGGAGCCTCCCAATTTTTCCTTCACCTACATGACAGGGGTTTGCCACAACCATCTGTGCAAATTACCTTTGATTCTTACCTGCTCTGCCTCGTCGGTTCAACCTCTCAGGTGGCTTTAGTATCTCGCTCTAATCAGAACATATCAGAAGCATCTGTCACAGAAACACCTGGACTTGCTTTGAACACCTAGGTCCTAGGTTGTTCGTCTTCACAGACAGTCCCCTCGAAAAAAGTCGGGGCGTCTTCGCTCCCTCTTGTTGGCCCGCTGCATTCGCTTTTAGCGCCCTGCCTGCCGAAGCTCGGAGGTGGAGGAAGACCTGACGAGCAAAGGGACGTCTTGGAGTACCAAAGGGACTCCACCCGAGGTGATGGAAATTGCCTGGTGGAAATCGCCCAATGGATTGCCGTCCCAATCCAATCCAACACATGATGCATCTCAAACAGGGACATATTATTGGGATTTGGGAGGATTTGGTCGGGCAAACGATTAGGGCTGTTGTGTCAGGCAAGTGAAACTCAAGCTGGGACTTAGACATTTCACAAGCCGGCATCAGCTTATGCAGAAAGCTAGTTCTCTGAACAACTTTGACAAACGCAAATTGATTGAATGTTTGTAGTTGTCCAACCAATTGAAGACCGACTATGATTCATACACAAAGATTAACCACTAGATTGACCGTATTCAAGACCTTCACAAAGTTCGCATCAATAGAACTTAGATGAACTTAGGCTTGCCTTTTCAAGCTTCTGCTACATGGCACGCAGCCAAATCTGTGAAGCAAACGAGACAAGTTCTGCCACAAAACTCCGTCCAACCCTCTGCAGGTCCAGGCTTTCCGAACTGCTCCTCTGTTCGCTTGGGCCTCTGCGAAGGGTTTGGCACTTTGCAAAGGCAGCAAGCAAAAAAACACAAACATGAACATCAAGCGTCTCTCAGTTGTCATTGATAAACACATGATAGACGTGCATTTGCACATCTAATTCATTGGAAGCTACGAGTACTGCTCCTTTCACATCCACAGTGCAAAAAACGCCATGAAACATGTCACGACTCGCGTCATCGCCAAAAAAACACATGCAGTCCAGTGCTTAATTGCTGAATTGAATGGCCCTTCTGTCACTGTAAACCTCCTCATCTCACCCGTCCCCTTTCTGCGGCCAACCGGCAGAGGAGGACGCGAGTCCTGACGCCCCGAGTTCGGCGTCGGGTTGCGGTGCCAGGTGACGTCGAGACCGAACGGCGGTCTTGAAAGTGGGGGACTGGTCGCACGAACCACGTGGAACCCCAGACCCACGT